TGTTCAGTCACATGTCACACCCCTCTGCTGAATTTCGACTTTTTGAAACCTGTCACCAGTCACAATGGCCTCTAAACCATTGTGACATGCAAACTTTTGAGCAAAATTTCAGTCAAAAAGGGGAAAACTTAAATTTTTTAGTTATAAATGTTTTCAATGGGTTTTGAGTCCAAATTTATAAAATTTTGACCTTAGTTCAGGGGTTGTCACGCACTCAAAAAGGTTCTGGATGAACCGCGAAATTTTGGTGTCACAGGTCACACCTGCTGAACATGGTCGTAATAGTACAGTACTAAGTCACTCCGTGCATTCATGCAACACCAAAGTGTTGCGCATGCGCATGCTCAGCGTCAAAGACATATTGTGTGCATGTTAGAACGAGCTCGTCTATCAATCAATCTAGCCCCCACGTCCCAAAATGTCCAAAAATCTAATGCATGACGCATACTCACCCAATTATTCCACGTTCCAGCCTTGAAGAGACTAAATCCAAGCAAAAGTATTTTACATCCGAATCCATCTCAAAAGTACATACATACTAGTAAGTGTTACACGCTCGGTGCGTAATCATGATGGGATCCAACATATCTAAGTGATGTCTAGAGTAGATAGGACGACAGGACTGCACGCAATTCCATTTCCCTCCTCCCCCTCCTTCTGAACTCCGTATCCTTTCATCAAGCCTAGTCCCAAATCCCCGTCGAATCCCTTCTTAATTAAGTATGTACCCTTGACCTTCTCTCCAGCTGCAACCTTCAGGAACTTCTCGAGTCACCAAGTCTTCGTATGCGCGTTCTTCTCCTAGTACACCCTGACTCAATTATGCACCCCGGTTTGCAATTGCAACCCACTCACGACCGGATTTCTCTTCAAAAAAAGACACTTTCTGGTCTATTCTGGACCCTTTGATTCCTCCTCCTCCAACCGTTCGAAGTTTTTTCTCGTCTTTGGATTCTAACGACCGTCATCAAGTTCATTCATCCAACAAGCACGTACTTAGAGACTATGACAGCATTTTTTAAGGACGCCCAACGGATCCAATTTGTGACACAATTATTTTGTATTTTTTGTCGTTTCATTGCGAGGGATCCGCCTGACCACCATATAGACAAGAAAGTTTTTACGTAGGCTTTCCTTACCCCAAACCTATTGAGAGTTCGATGTGACCCTTCATTGCTAATCCTTCAGGATGTTCGAGGGGGTCGTCGTCTCGTGGGTACTAAAGTCTGTACACCTGACCCGTCTTTATACTCTTAGTACTCGGGAGTGATCTCTGGGATTATTATGCATGTTTCTGTTATTTCGTGTTCAGTTGATATGTCGCGAGACATTACTCAGTATGTAGTGATCACAACGGCATGTTGGCTGTGCATCCACGGCTCACATATATGGTGATGTGAGTGGCGTGGGCCCCCAGTCGTATCCTCAATGGGTCCTAGTGCTGGGTTTACCTACCTACCTACCTACCTTCCTAAGTTTCTTCCCCTCACTTTGGCAGCTTCGAGTCAACATTCCAAGAACAAGCCACGACAAATAAAAGGCTAAAAAGCTGCCAAGTTCAAATTGTATGCCAGTATATGGATTAGAGTGGTCCACAAGTTAACTTGCGAGTTACTTGTGCAAGTATTCTGCAAGTATTGGCTTTCTGAAGGTGATACTCTCACTCTTCAAATACTTGCAAGTAGTGAAAAACTTGCGAGTTTTTGTTAGTTTTTGCAAGTACTTGCAAGTTTTTGATTCCAAATTTAATACTCTCACTTGCAAGTGCGAGTTTCCCACGAGTTTCCCAAGGGTACACTTGTGGGCACCCACAAGTATTTCAAACTCGTGGACCACTCTAATATGGATGGTTTGTATACAACAAAACAAACAGTCTACAGGAAAAGACTCCATTGTAAGTTAGGGATTGTAAAAAACACGTTTAAAAAAAGGAAAAAATCATTAGAAGGACCGAGTAAAAGACAGGATAGCAAGTTTAGAAACAAGCCAGAATTGGTGTTCGAGAAGAATAGAAAAAAAGTAGAAAAAAAAGGTTCGCGGGATGAAAAGGAATCATTCGATAACAGGACCGCCGTCAGCTCATCATGAACATGCGACCCCCTATCACAATCTTAGTACTATATAACCTCATCTCCATCTCCATCATCCCCTGTACGTGTCAGTAAACTGATGTTGTCGTCGGTGGGAGAACGAGGATAAAGATGACTATGATGAAGGTCGGAGGAGGAGATGTAAGATGAAGGGACTCTGACGTCGGTTCCACGGATGCCGTTGAGAGCGTTGAGAGCGTTGAGGGAGTTGAGGGCTGCGAGGAAACTGTTAATGTATACTGTTTGAAAGATTGATCAACGAAAGATTTTTGAGTCACGATGAGGAAAAAAAGTAGTGTAAAGCCTTACGGTGTACGACGATGAATTCGATAGATAGTGCTGATATACTGTGTGGATCGACAAACATCATGATTGTAAGTTGAACGCAACCGACAATCCTGCAGAAATCAAATGAGCTACAGCTTCTCTTCGTTAGCATCGTAGAATGTTTTAAAACACCTACGTGGTAAGAATGAATCGGTTGATAGCACAAATTTTAATTATCCTATTCCGCTCGACAGACCTTGGTAGCCGTCCCAATTGTCAAGTCCGATTGTGATATATTAGTTGCTTTGTCAAAATACAAGAAAACCACCCTGAATCAACACAAAAATTGAGTACTCACGGTTCGAAATGCATATTTGGAGACAACGTTGTTGTTCCATCCGACACCATTCTGAGAATTCGGAGCGGGACCAAGAGGTTTGAAATCCACGGGTCGAGTTGTGCGGGTGTAGCGGATTTGAATCTACGAAACGTTTCGCATGAATGGATATGAGTACAAATAAAGGGATAAGACGCTTGGTCAGCATGAATTTGTGACTAGGACAGCGCTGGACGTACTCTTTGACCACCCAGCCTTTGTTTCGAGTGCCGAATAGTACTCAGCAACCGGATGTCAGTTGAGAAAACAGTGCAACTTACAGATTCCAAAAGCTGAGATTTTCGAGAGATTAGACATCGGTTGATCCATACGTACACCTCATATAACGATCAGGAAAGAATTACTTACCGAATTCACTAATGATAAAAACCGCCTAGAAACAAGTTGTTTCGCATTCAGTTCAGAGTTGCACAAGACATAGCAAAAAAAAAATTTACTTACAAAGCCCGTAACGAAAAGATATCTTTTCACTCCTGATGTCACTAGTAGGATACAACCAGAATTGTAAGATAGCTTGAAAACCGGAAGTTGAGTCCCTTACAGCGATAGATCAGCTTGGCGAAAAATCTATTAGATAACCGGCGTCAATCTTTGCATTAACCTTATCTGATCTCCAATGGAAACAACCGACGTTTGGATGACCACACAGATGATATGCTGGAAACAAAAGCATTTGTTTCAATCTAGGCGGTAGAAAGAGAAATTATTCAAAACGTACACCGAGAATGACGCCGATCTGCCGCACGAGAATCGTCAAGGGATGAGGGAATTAGAGTAATGAACCAGGCGTTTGAAAAGCGTACGTAGACACTCCATAATCCTCCGGCCAATATTGATGGATTGGTATAGCTGATTACCTATGGATTTTCATCAATTTCAGCTGTGACCCGAAAAACTGAAAAGAAGATCGCGCTTTCGTACCAAATAGGTATATATAGTTGTGCATACTACGATTTAGTAAAGGGAAAAAAGATGTCAGTCAACTGGACAGAGTAAAGAAGAGAGAAAGAAGGAAGTCACTCACTTAAACCAATTTGCACCGTCCCAAGGATTCTATTCGACATAAAACAATTTCCATTCAGAAAAACGTTTGCGCTATGACAAACATCCGACTGAAGCAATTGAAAGGAGGGAACCTCGTACGTTATAAAGAGAACCTACGCCAAGTAAAGAAAAAATTCAAATTCATGAGAAAATTACGGAGTAAACTGACCCCCGAATCGGGGACACGAGGCTTTTTATAGCAGCCTTGACTATGTATGTAAGTACTCACCAGTAATTTCATCCATATCGTGTCTCGGGTATACTTGAGGTAGTACATGTACGTCTTTTCAAAAACCCAAGCACAATCCCCTCAGCCGATTAGCACAAAGGAAGAGGGTTTGAATACATGGCGTTACGTTACCTGCAGCAGAGATACACCATAGAAGAGTATCGCAAAAAATCCACATATTAATGTCCCCCCTGTTGTAAAAAAAAATTGAGTTAATGTCAGGGTAGTCAGTGACCGAAATAGCAGACTCTAGCATCCAGAAATGAAATGCTCACCATAAGATTTCGCAAACGCACTCTGAGAAATCGGTGTGGGACGGTCAGGGAGGGAGGACATTAGATTCGGGAGAAGGGGAAGGGGGAAAAGAGTAAGTTGAAAGAGCGCCTCGAGCATGGTCTAGTTATATAAGGGCAGGCTTCCACAAAGAAGGTTGAGCTGTAGATAAGTGTCGCTTTTTGATGATGATCAAATGACAAGAAGCTTTCCTTTTTAGATAATCGAACACTCAAAGAACATCAAGGTTGACGCCTGGCGAGGCACGAGTCCGACCATCGATCCAGCCTGCAAACCGGGTACAGATCACCCGATGGAGAATGTCAGAAGACTTTGTTTTCTCCTCAGTGATCCACAGAAGAGGTCATTTCATAGAAACCATAAATATGGCCTTATTGGAAGGACCTACCCACCTCGGCTGACGAGGTCGTCCATAGTCTTCGGGGTGGCGCAGCAATCCGTGGGAGTCGGTCCTGTGCCGTGAGAATGCCGAAAGGTAGAACTGTACAACTGCTCTTTCGGCGGCAGTCGGCCTTCTCTATCTATGTGTCTGCATAACCTTCTTGCGGGACTGTTGTGCGCCCGAGTAGTGGTTGGAAGACAGCCTGTTGGACAGTGTGCTGTCGATGCTTCGGTGGTAACTCCAAAGCTGCTTTTATAAGTAATAGACTCAAGGTGCCTGCTGCGATATATTTTTGTCGGTTCGATGGCGTAGTTGGTTATCGCATCTGTCTAACACACAGAAGGTCCCAGTTCGAATCATGCTATGGGTTATCGATATGTTTTTTATTCTGGAGCACAGTTCTCACAATACTTGCTTGCGTGCTTTTTTATGTCCTCACGGCCAAGTACAGTCAACAACATTAGTGTGGTTCTGTGCGACACCTCTCCGAAACCCGTCTCGAACCGATCACTTTTTAACTGCTTCACATATAGTATCTTCCGCACTTCTTATACGTATACTTCGTTATGATACTAGCCGCATAGCTCGGAAAACAACCAATCTCCAGCCCTTTGGCTCAAGCACAAGCTCTATCTACCCTCGGCTTCCATAAACATTCAATACTGTAAGACTCCGCAACTTGACATCGACCTCACACCATAAATCGTGATGTACATGCACGGCATTACCTTCAACTATATACGCTTGCTTTCCGGTGAGAACTGGTAGTCTGGTACTATCCACTTCCCGCCCCATCATCACAACGTCCAACAATCAAGAGTCAAATGTACAGATCTGCAACAGTCACGGTCAGTTAGACTATACACATTATGCATGTTTTTTTTGGGTGCGTAGTACCTACACACACGCTCCACGCAACAAGTAAGCATTGCCCATCATACTGTTGTTTCTCCCATCGTTTTTTTTTGTTGTCCGTTCCATTCTATTCAACGTACAGTCTGAACGCTTTCCTTTCTCTTCCCTGAGAAATTTTCACAACGTACTTTTCTACTAGTCATTGGATTCATGCGACACCCAAGTACTACGTAACGTCATATGTATGCGCATGCTCAGCGTCACAGACATATCTGTGCATGTTAGAACAAGCGAGTCTATCTACCTTCGTATCAATTTAAAACGTCCAAAACCAATGTAACGCATACACACCCATTGATTTATCCCGCGTTCCCAGCCAGGAGACCAAATCAAAGCAAAAGTACTTCGCATCCGACGCCATCTCAAAAGTACATACATACTGGTAAGTGTTACACGCACATCTGAATCACTCATCTCGATGCGTAATCATGATGGTATTCCAAGTGATGGATAGATATGTCTAGATAGAATGATGGGACGACGTGCAATTCCATTCTCCACCCCCACCTCCCCAAATCCTTCTGAGATCCGGATCCTTTCATCACGATCAAAAGTGGTAGAGAAGACAGCCTATTGGTTAACATGCTATCGACGCTTCGATGGTGTTTCCTTCTAACTACAAAGCTGCTTTAATAAGTACATAATACTCTCAAGATACCTTCTTGCGATACACAGTGGTTGGTTCGATGGCGTAGTTGGTTATCGCATCTGTCTAACACACAGAAGGTCCCCAGTTCGAGCCTGGGTCGAATCATCTGCCATTGCTGATATTTTTTTTAAATTCTGAAGCCCAGTTCTCACATGAACAAGTTCAACATATTGTGATTCTGCGTGGCACCGCGTGATACCTCTCCGAAAACCCGTCCGAAAACTTTTTGACTGCTTCACATACTTAGTATCTTCCACAAAGTTGTCGGTTGAAATAGGCTCAAGCACAAGCTCTATCTACCCTCGGCTTTCATTAGCACTCAGTACTGTGAGACTCCGCAACTGGATCCCATCGACCTCACACCGTAAATCGTGATGTACATGCACGACATTACCTTCAACTATACGCTGCCCACAATCGTTATCTTTCTAGGAAAGATGGGGTACGACAAAAATCTTAGCTAGTGAGAACCAATGGTAGTCTGGTACTACCCACTTCCCGCTCCATCATCACAACGTCCAACAATCAACAGAGCCAAATGTACATGTACAAGATCTGCAACAATCACGGCCGGTCAGACTAGGTTTCATACACATTATGCATGCTTTTTTTTGGGTACGTAGTACCTCAACACGCTCCAAGTAAGCATTGCCCATCACACTGTTGTTTCTCTCATCATTTCTTCTGTTGCTCCCAGCCAAGAGATCAAAGCTTCGCATCCGAATCCATCTCTCATTGTCAAAGTACATGCATACTAAGTACTGTTGCAACTTGCACGCTACATCTGAAATTTGAATCATTGCGTGATCATGATGGGATCCAACATGTCCAATGATGGATATCGCGCAATTCCATTTCCTCTCCCCCTCCCCTCCTGAATCCAGATCCTTTCATCATGATCAAGCTCTTCCCAACTTCCCGTCGAATCATTTCTCTTGACCTTCTCTCCAGCTGCAGCCTTCAGGAGCTTCTGCGGGTCCCCAAGTCTTCCCAAGTATGCGCGTTCTTCATAAGTATGTAGCAATACCCTGAACTCAATTTACGCACCCCGGTCTCCAAATTCCAACCCACTCGCGACCGCGACCGGAATTCTCCTAAAAAAGAGTCTGAGAGCTCTGGTTCATTCCGAACCCTTTCATTTCCTACAATTTCATTTTTGGACCCTAACGACGGTCGAGTTCATGCATCATCATCACAAGACCTCCCTTTCCGCACGCAGGGACGAATCCAATTCCCAATTCTTGTAACAGCATATTTATTTTTCTTTTCCTCAACGTTTCATCGTCGTCGGAGTCCACAATGGCAAGGAGGAGTCCATCTGACACCATATAGATGACTACCATAGAAAGTTTGTTACGTTTCCTCACCCCAAAACACCAAACATCCTTCGACCCACTGTGCAACTTCGATCAAAGGTCAAACAACACACCACGCCACGACGTCAAGAGAAAAAAAGTCCAAATTGTACGCCCAGTATATATGGAATAGTTTGTATACAAACAGTTTACGGAAAAAAGGACCCCATGAGTTGTTGTAAAAACACGTACAAAAAAGAAAAAGATCATTAGAAAAGTACCGAGTAAAAGACAGGATAGCAAGTTTCAGAAACAAGCCAAGAATTTGGTATTCGGGAAGAATAGAGAAAAAAGAAGAGGGGAGGTCAAGTGACAGGTTCGCGGGATGACAATAAAGAGAAAAAAGGGAAACCATTCGATCAAACTAGTGTCAAGCGATATCGAGTGTGTCCAACAGAATAAAAGGGTAAGGTCCGTCCAAAATAGACAATGCTAAAACGTAGAAAAAGAGGTAGGTGCGCGCGCGAGTGTACACAAAATGCGAAGAGGGCCAAAACATACAAGAACAAGTTATCATTTCACCCCAACATCACCCAAAACAATCAAGAAAGTTCCTCGACAGAACCTCCTCAACCTTCGAGTAAAAAAGAATGAAACGAAACCGGTCTCAAGTATCCCCAAAGGTCGCACATTTTGTGGTACAACATTATAACAAACATCAAATCCATCCCAGCACACAAGCCCGGCTCTCTCAACAAGTCGTCGAAGAGAGCCTTTTTAGGAGCAAGTCACCACCGCTCCCGTATCCCAGCGTTGCTCGCTTTAGAGAGCGAACAAGGCAGCACCAGCAGCAGCGAGAGCGACGAGACCACCGTTGACCTTGGCGGACGTAGCACCGTTACCGTTGATCGAAGTAGGAGCAGCAGAGCTGGAAGAAGAGTTGGGTGCGGTCTGGCTGGCGGAGCCGGAGGCAGAGTTAGAGCCAGAACCGCTAGGCGTAGTGCGGGAAGCGCTGGTGGGAGCAGTACTATAATTAGAGACGGGAGAAATGGCCATGGTTTAGTACAAATATAGGCACATGTACGAGGTCATGACTTACGCGGTGGTTGAGGCTGCGGATCCAGAAGCAGTACCAGAAGAAGCACCAGAAGCACCAGAGGCGGTAGAGGATTGAGAGACGGAAGGAGGAGCGGCAATGTTGAAAGCGGAAGATGTTGCAAAGACGTCGGTGATGTTACCAATGTTTACAGCCTGGACAGTGTAACCGTCACTGTGGATAATTATAGAAAAGAAAAATTTTCCAATTCAATTGAGTTGTGGGAACGAAACAAGCAGAACAAGAACAAGGTTGTGGTATACGCACCGGCCGATTAAGACAGGCCAGGTAACGGTGATAGACTGGTCACCGGGGTTGACATTGTTGGCAATGGCGATCTTGTCGTTGAGCAGGGGGTGGGTAAGCTCAATGGAGAAGACGCTGTTTGCGGACCAACACATTTTTTTTAGTAAAGGCGAGACACAAGAAAAGAGTTATACAACGACGTACGTGTCACTGTCAGTGGCAGTCCATGTGAGAGTGGATTGCTGGGTGGAAACAGCGTCGGTGGGAGGGGCACCCCAGGTGAGGGCTTGAACGAAAGGAAGGACGGCGGCGACGAGGCTAATGACAAAGCGGTACGTATAGTGAGTCTACCAAGCCCTGTATGTATGCGTTCCAATGAGTACGTACGCAATCTTGTTGAACATCGTGAACGTTAGTTGAAGCAAAGGGGACGGAGGAAGGACAGATGGGTCGTTGGGAACAAAAGTTGAACGAACGATGGGGACATCAACCGGCTGTCAGCGAGTATATATACCCCCTCAACCACCCACCTGTCATCAAACACACGTGATCATTTCAAATTCTAGCCGCAAACGCGTGGTAAAAAGACGTCACCATCAAATTTCCCCGACATGTATTCCATCTTTCCATCCCTTTATGACCGCGACCAGGAACCGACCAAGGGAGTCCCTGGCTCTCTCTCGGGAGCGAGTTGAGCACCGTTGAGCATTCCCCCGCCTGTTCCCGTATGCCAAAGGTGCCAACAAAGCGTTTTTCCTCAGAGACTTCTAGAGCCTTCGATCGACGGCCCTTCGCACGTAATTTATATAACGCTCAATAGATTTCATGCAATGTGTTTCACATGCCCTTTCCAAAGTTTCCATGTTTTCAGTCCCCTGCTATTTTCTCCGTCCTTATATTCCTCGCCCAATCATATGCCCACACGCCCCCTTCTTCCAAGAATCCTCTCTTTCATAGCCCAGTGTTCCGTTTCTCGTTCACCGACTCCCGGAACTACTACTGGTAACACCAGGAATGTTTGACATGAAACCCCAAATGCCAAGCAGTCACACTCGTTACTATGCATATTTTACAAGGACCTGATATTGACTTGCACCGACGTCGTCGTCAACTCGAAGAGGAACCTTTTCTCAACTTTGGCACTCGACCACCCGCTATACCTATGGCTAT